CGTTAAGTAGAACGAATCAACCTCATTATGTGCTTACGGTTGAATGTGATACTTGCCTCATGTTTTGGTGAGATGGAAACTTAAACTAGGTTGTTTTTTATGGGGGCTTAATTTTGGTTTATCATTTCCTGGCCCTTCAACAGTTTCCAACATGAAAGACCCAACAAGCCAATTAAAATTATTGGTAATCGACTTTTTTTTAAGTGTCACGTGCTAATTTTGTTATACTACTCATTCTCATAAAAAATTTTCATTTACTTGACAGAAAACAGATGAAATAATGGCTATAAAGATAAATCAAGAGTACTCAATTTGTTAGTATTGATCTAACTGCATAATTATAACAGGTCATTGCAACTTTTACAAAATGGTTTTCTTTTAATTAATCTAATGTTCAATAAATAAGTTACTTATAAATTCTTTACTATAGACTAACTTTTGATATGCACAACTGAATTATCTATTAATATTAAGATTTAGTTTCATTTAAAATAATAACAAATTTTCTTTAATTAGCTATAATCTTTTTTACAATAGACTATGACACATTTTCATATATAGTTATAACAACGTACTTTCATTTCCTTACCCATAATACCAATTTACTCTCATTTACTTACCCAAAAATTATACCATTCACCTTTATTTTTTCATCGTGAAGATAATCTACTTTCACAATTTAGTTAATCAAACTGTCCTGCCTAAATAAACAATACCATTTTGACACAAATCTGCCCGTTAAACCAAGTGATTGATTCTTTTGCTTGGTAGTTACCGATCGGTTTGTATACTCGGTTATATCAAAAAATGTGAAAACTACTAATTTGTATTCTAAGATTCTCCCGCACCTATTATAATTACTTGATTTCATTTTTAACAACCATTGCAAAATCTTTCATATAACCAAATTGAAAAACCCATCAGTAACTACCGAGCAAAATGGTCCACCACTTTGTTTAACGGGCATATTGGTGTAAACATGAACTTCTTTATGTCAGGTCGGATGGTTTACTTTACTAAAGTGTGAAATTAGATCATCTTTAGTAGGAGAAAATAGATGTTACTGGCATAAAGTTTTGGTAAGAAAATGAAAGCTTATTGCTGTTATGGGTAAGGAAATCTTATTACCTTGTTGTAACTGTTACCATCTTTTTTATACAATTCTATTGTTTATTTATGCCATCTAACATTCGCTATCGCATGAAAGACAAGTTATTTTCTTGGTTCAGTCATTCTCATTCACATCAGCTGTACCTCTTGTTGCAATACATAGAAAGACCATTTAATGGTTCAGTTTATTTTAAAATTATTATCACCTATTTCCAATTCCACCTTTAATAATATGCTTTCCATTTCTACATATCCTTTTTTTAATTATTTTACAAGTAATCATTTGCTAATTTTCATCAATTTATGTCTCTTTCATTATACATGTCCATATAAATATAAGGTTTCTTTTTTTTTATTACACATTTTTTTTGTTTTTTTTTTTTTTTTTGTTTTTTTGGCTTTAAGGATATTTAATATGTGTATTGAACCTGATTGGATATTTTAGTCAATTTATATGTAAAAGTTGTTATGTATTGATGTTTATTATTTTTATTTTTTAAAGAATGTTTTGTTTATGTGTACTTTAGATTATTGTATATCTTACTCGATCTTAGTGTAGAGTTGTATGTTCCCAAAATTTAATCCATTTTTATTAGGCAAAATTTTTTAGACTTCTCTCATTATTAAATACATTTGAATTTGAACTATGGTATTTGGTATATGTTTTGACGAGTACCCTTACATATGCCGTGTATATTTATTTGGTAATTTTAATATTTGCAGTTATATGACAAAAAAAAATATTTATTTAAAATTCCAAAAATTGATCTATTTTCTTTCAATGTTTTGTCCTTATGACGTATCTTATGTGTTGGTTTATCAAATCTGATGACACGCAGTCGGAGACAATTCCAATTACATGATCTCTTTAGATAAGTATAAACAATCATCAGTCATACCTTTGTTTTCGATGTGCTGTTAGCCAACAACATCTGTTATTTTTCTTTACTTAAGATATTTACACGTGGATTTCGAATTTCCCAATTTTACACGTAATAATTTTTTACTTTATATATTTACTGTTATTGTTGATCAATTTCTTAACAAGACAATCTTTACACGTTTGATCCGGTAAGTTTACCTAATTGTTATGAAGAGTCGTTCTTCATTTTTTTTCATTTTCTTAATTTACCTGTATGCCTCTTGACTTTTTTTACAAATTTTTATGTTGCAGTTAAATAAACATGTCTACACAGCTTACTCCGATTATGGAAATCAATCAGGCAACTCACAACCGGTGGACAGCCCTTGTACAAATCTTAGAATGTCAGCACGTTTTGCAAACTAAAAAAGGGTCTTCTTACAAACGACTGATGTTAACAGATTCTGAAGGCTTAAAGTTCACAGCAATTATTTTCAGTGAGAATTTAAACTACTATGCAAGAACATTCACACAATATAGGAGGTATCGCATCTCAAATGCGTTTCTCATCCCATGTGATCCACGATATGCACTTAGCTTATATGGATTTTCATGGGTGCTCAATAAGCGAACGCTTGTACAAGAACATCCTGATCGCAATCCGGTGAATTTACCTTGTACTTTTGAATTCACACCATTTACGAGGCTCCATGAACATGCTGAATCAGAACATCTTCAAAGTAAAATACTTTTTCTATTTACATAACAGTTATTTTTTGTTTATTTATTTATTTTTCTTAATATTAACTATGTTTATATATATATATATATATATATATATATATATATATATATATATATATATATATATAAACATATATATTTGTATTATGTAGATGTCAGAGGCATCATTGTACGATGTTTGCCCTGTTATGAACAAGGTTCTGACCTTGTCAGTCGGAGAGATGTCGTTATTATCAACGAAGAGTATAAAATTCTTTATCACACAATAATCTATTACCTATTAGTTACATACATTACATTGATTACATTACAATTTTCTTTTATAGAAAACTGCCTTTGGTGATCACTCTGTGGAACCAATTCGATGAACATGAGGGTAATATGTTGCAGTCAATGCAAGGCCCACCCCCTTTGTTCTTTGGACTGAGGCTGAAAGTCACGACTTTTAACTGTAATTTATTTACCTTTTTACCGAACAATATATATATATATATATATATATATATATATATATATATATATATATATATATATATATATATATTATAACAATAAAACTTCATTTATTGTACTGATTACAAAAAATGGAAACAACCATCTCTTTAACAACGAAGCCAAATTCAGGTTTGCTCATCAATCCACCGGTTAGGGACGACTTGCAATTACGCACCTGGTATTACTTATGTTGTTCATACCGTATTTTTTTCTTAAAATTATTAAATAACTTCTATTTTTATTTATCTTGATTTATACACTGATACATCTATCTGACAAAATTAGGTACAATAACAACCGCAAGGAAATAAATGACTTGCTATTAGTCACAAACTACCGAAGAAATGATTTCCTTCTACCATATCCAGCTGAAACAAACATATCTTCTATTGTTTCTGCAACTTCACATTTCGACACTGTAAGCTATTTTTTTACTTAAAAAAAAAAATTCATTTTTACAATTATGTTTCATATGTAATTTATTTCATCTACATTTACATCACATATAAAATAGATGAAAACTGCTTGGGTGAAAGGCACCCTGAGTCTTCCTAAACAAGAACGTAACTTATCATACACTGCTTGTTCCAATTGCTTCAAGTCTATAGAAGCCGACACAACTTGGATTGTTACCTGTCCTTCTTGTCACATCGAGTCAGAAATTCAACAGATGTAAGCATGAATCTTCTTTTACTCCCTTCTTGAAATAATTTTTTTCTCACCTATGAAATTTCCTTTAGGTCAAGGTTAATTGTTTTGATTGCCGATGAAAGTGGAGTGATGAAAGCAAATTTACACACACCTGAACTTGAAAAGTTTATACATTTCTCTCCAAAAGATGTGCAAATCAGTGAAGAAACGGTAAATACACATTTTATCTAACCTTGTAAAAACATGTTAGTTTATACTTATATAAATTCTTTTTAACATTTGTTAATGTGTAACAGAGTCAAAGTCTATGCAATTCCATTGCCACTGCAATCAAGTCTGTTTATATTGTTGCTTTCGTTCGTGCATACGAAGTGCATTTTCAAGGAACAACAGACATCAAAGTGAATATTGTTAAAGCTTACAAAGTAAATGATCGTGCTGCTGTATCAAATGAGTCTGATAACATGGTCCATAGATCAAACATCGGTGAAGGCACATCAACAACCAAGAATGTGTCTTCTCTTGCAGCCACAGTTCCTTTGCCATCGGCTGGTGAAATTGAAAAACCTCTTCAAGTTAAGAATTCAAAGCAAGTTCCTGTTATATACTTGCTTCCAAAGAATAAGCCAGAACCAATTCTAATGACAAAGCATCTTGTTCCAGAACTTCCAACTTCCATCTCCTCTCCAATTGAACAAAAAGTTTCTGAATCGGTCCCACCTTTAGCACTTCCTGTGAAAGAAGATGTTCTTCGGGCAAGCAATCCAAGACCTTCCAAAAAAACAAAGTAACTGTGGTTTGTGGTTTGTTAAAGATGGTAACTATCTTCTACATATCTTTTGCGAATAGAATATAGAGGGTCTATTCGATATGTAAATAGTATCTTTTGCGAATAGAATATAGAGGGTCTATTCGATATGTAAATAGTATCTTTTGCGAATAGAATATAGAGGATCTATTCGATATGTAAATAGTATCTTTTGCGAATAGAATATAGAGGTCTATTCGGTATGTAAATAGCAGCTAACTGCAGTTGACAACCATCTTTGTATGGTTTCTTTTGGCGTATAGATCATTAAGATATATTGTATATACACTTTCAAGTTTTCATATAAGATCTATTGTATATACACTTTCAAGTTTTTATATGAAAAATGGACCTACAATCTACTTTTATTATGTTGGCATGTACTGGTTTCACAAAGATAATATACCATAAAGATAATATACCACAATATTGTTGAATACTTTATAACCATCTTTCTTTGTAACACAATCTTCACAAAAATGACAACTCTCATCTAACCTTTGTTCCATTATCTACAATTTCATTTGAATTCTTATATTATGATAAAAAAATTCACAAAGATAATATACCACCTAGATAATATACCACAATATTGTCGAATGAAACAAATAAGAGATTGCAAACCTAATCATATTTGAGGTCAAATTTAAAAAACTCTTAGACTACGACTTTCCACCATATCTTCATCACTTCACTTCTCCTTAAAAGCAATAACTCCTTAAAAGCAATAACCTAAGCAATAACCTACATGAATGAAAATTAAATTAATAAATAAAGAATAAAATCAAAGATTCATTTAACAAATTTATAGATAAAACTCACTATGGTTGTCCACTTGACAAATATATCATTTTCGTAGTCCATTCGAAAAAGATACAGTAGGATTATTAGATTATATTAAAATTGTTAATATTATTCATATCCATATCCCTTATGAGCATGCTCAAAAATATTGGAGTTGCTACAGGCCAAAAAATTTTCAAATCAGATTCCATGCCAATGCCAATTCCATTGTCATTGCCAACACCACACAAACTCATGTAACTCCACTGTAGGTGCGTACGACAACATGCTTTGTGATTTTGTATTTCCAATGTACTTAAATTACATCTTTTCTCTCTTTAAAACACTATACTTTTAAAGTACAATGCTATATTGCCAATATTTCCAGAAAGAGTATGCTTTGTGATTTTGTATTTCTATATGCGAAAAATACCAATGTACTTAAATTATATATTTTCTTTCCTTACAATTTAAAGTACACCATTGTACTTTTAAAGTACAATGCTATATTGCCCATATTTCCAACAAGAGTATAAGTATATTACACATTCTCTTAACACCATGGAATGGAATGTATAAGTTTCGGTAAACACACTATATTTTACACTTTTACCATTTGTAAAAGAATAAGCATTCAACTTAAACTTCTTACAATGACTACACACTTATATAGATATTATCTTTATACATTGTACTATTTAAGTTTACCATTTCGCTTAACTGTGATGAAACTCCGCTCCGGAATCGATTCTATAGGGCCGTGATTATCACGGCCCTCATCATGTTCCTAGTATATATATATATATATATATATATATATATATATATATATATATATATATATATATATCCAAAAAGTCATTTTGTCAATTACTAGTTTTGAGGGTAATCCAAAAGAATATTGCTTTTAATTAGAGTATATACTAATTTAGTTATTGTCTTAAACACTTAATCCAACAATCTCCCACTTTGATAAGTCTACAACTACAATTGCAAGTATAACTTCTAAATCAAACAACAAAAAGTCCTTTCCAAAGCAACTGCCAGACTTTAAACTGATCAGACATTGGTCCTAAGATAACTGATCACAATCAAATCTCTTGTCCAAAATTATGTTTCCCGATTTCCCGATTTGTGATGACCTCATAAGACTACTAATTGAACACATCAATTTAGTCACGGTTGGGCCCAACAATCACCGAGGGGACAAAAGATATCGCTTTTTCTGTTAGGGAAAAATGAGCGAATAAATTCTTATTCATATGATTGTATCTTTTACTCACCAAATCATGCAAGGCACAACGTTCTATAACATCACATTACTGATGCGTTTTCGCAACACCAATACATAATCGACTTGTAAATTACAACTCATATGTCTCCATTTCAAGAGTATAAGATATTATTGTCTCAGAACTACTCGTGATAAAATCCATGAAGTAATTCTATGAGCGTGGGTTTATCCAATACTCAAAATCTCTATTTTTGTAAGTACTCATGAATATTGTAGCAACCATTGCAATGTCTAATCTCCATAGACAATCTATAATCAATTCATAACAGTCTTGATTCACTGCATACTTCCAAAGGTATGAGCGACTGTGGAATTTTGAATAATCAAATCATTCACGAAGTAAAACATGCAAAACAAAACACAAGAATAAATAATTGAAAAATGCAATAATCATACTCATAAATAATCTCTATTACTGAATCACCAAAGTCAATTACATTTATTTTGTTACAAGTTTCAAAATATCAACTAACTACTAAAACTAATATCATATCTCAAGCAAATGCTCCTAACATGTTGGTTATGCTTAACCCTACTCAGAGTCTTCTGAAAGGATCTGCAGGATTATCTTCTGAGGAAACTCTCTTCACTATAACATGAACTTCTTTAACCCTATGCCTGATGTAATGGTACTTTCTGTCGATGTGCTTGGATCAACCACGATCCTTGGGCTCTTTGGTCAACGCAACAGTGCCTTCATTATCATAGTAAGGTTCTAATGGCTCTTGAATGATCAGGAATAGCCCGAGATCGCCAATGAAGTTCTTCAACCAAGCCGCCTCCTTTGATGCCTCACTCGCTATGATGAACTCTGATTCACAAGTAGAATAAACCACCATATACTGCTTAGAAATTTTCTAAGTCACTTCTCCACCATTTAAGAAAAACACCTAGCATGACTGAGAACACAAGTTGCGTCAATCTGTTTGAAAGTTATTGTCACTATATTCGGTTACTCTTAACATATCGCTGCCACCAAGGACTAGAATCATATCCTTTGTCCTTCGCAGATACTTAAGAATGTTCCTTACTACAGTCCAATGAGCTCTACCAGGATTGCCCTAAAATTGACTAACCATGCTGAAAGCATAAGACAAATCAGGGTGAGTACATGTCATAAAATACATGATTGAACCTACAGACGAAGCATATGGGACTCTCAGTTATCTCTTCATATGTACTTGAGCTTTTAGTCTTGCTCAACTTAGAATTATTCTAAATAGGTAGTTCCCGTTTCTTCAAATTTTTCATATAAAACTGTTTTAGTATTTTATCCAAGTAAGTATTCTGACTAAGACCAATAAGTCTTTTCTTTCTATCCCTTGGAATCCTTATCCCAAGACTATAGGTTGCGTCTCTTAGATCGTTCATGGTGAAACACTTTCCAAGCCAATATTTCACTTCTTGTAAGGTCGAAATGTCGTTTCCCATAAGGAGTATGTCATCAACATATAAAATCAAGAAAGTTAATATACTCCAACTAGCTTTGACATACACACAAGAGTCATCCTCTCACTTAGAGAAACCAAATTCTTTGACTTTCACATGGAAGCAAAGGTTCCAACTATGAGAAGCTGGTTTAATCGATAAACGTATTTCTCAAGCTTACACACCCTATTAGGAAACTTTTCATGTACAAAACCCTCTGGCTGATTCATGTAAACATCCTCACCCACTTCCCATATAGGAAAGCAATTTTGACATTTATCTGCCATATTTCATAGTCATGAAAGGCAGTTATGACAAGCATTATCCTGATAGACTTTATCTTAGCCACTAGTGAAAAGGTCTTATCATAGTCAACCCTAAAGGTCTGAGTAAATCCCTTCGTAACCAGTCGTGCTTTGAACGTGTGTACTTTCTCATGCATGTCAATTTTCTTCTTGAAGATCCATTTGCAACCTACTGTCTTTCGACCAGGTTCATGATCAATTAAATTCCCAACTTGGTTGTCATATATGGACTGAATCTCACTGCCCATTGTCTCTTTCCATTTGACAGCTTCAGGGTTTGCCATCGTTAACTTGTAGCTAGCTGGCTCATCCAAAATTACTAGTGTAGCATCACTGATAAACGTGTCACCATCTGATGTTATATGGAAACCATAGAATGTAGGTGGCATGTTAACTCTAATGGATCGACAAAGAGGTAATGAATTGTCAATGGGCTCAACAAGAATCTCGTCTTTTGGTTGAAAGCTAGTGTCTTCTAAGGTTCATCCACTAGTTGATTCTGAAATTTCTTCCAGATCAATAGGACTCCTATTGTCCTCTTTGAATATGATCTCTCTCTCTCTCTATATATATATATATATATATATATATATATCGCAAATGACTACTCTTCAAGGTGCGAAGACTACGTTCTCACTAGGTCCGTAGAAAAAGTATCCAAAAGACTTTTTTGGGTAAACAATGAAAATACACCACTCACATCTAGGTTCTAGCACATCGTGAGTCTCTTGAATAACGAAATCTTCACAACCCCAAACTTTGATGTGACCTAGCGAAGGAACTTTCCCTGACTACATCTCATGAGGTGTTTTGGATAAGGTGTCTATGTCCATAACTATATTTAATATGTACTTGACCCAGCTTGACATGGTCCATTTGGGTTGCATCGATATCTCAACTGTTGGATAGAAAAAATGAGAAAAAGGACACTTACGATTTGTTAATATACCATAAGTTCTAATATGTTAATATGAAATCATATTATTTAATTAGTATTGATCGAGAATTAATTTGGAATTAATTTTGTGATCAAAAGGAGACTAATTAAGTATATGTGGATTGATTTGTAAATCATTCATCCTTATATAGTGGGCTTATGGTCCATGATTCACTAGATTGGGCTAGGACCCATTAGGTGCTCCATGGATGCTCTATGGAGGTTAAAACCTATGG